TTACGCGCAGTTATAGATTCGCGCGAGAGCGAGATGCGCGCGACGCGACGTGCCTTTGACACGCGGCGAGTTTACGCTCTCCTTTGACCCATATATAACCCTCCGTTCGATTAATGCCACGGCTCTTAATTACGCCGTTTAATCGGCATAATTAATCGCGCGACGGCCCCTTTTGCTCCTATTTGTTCGGCGCGCGACGTTAATGCGCCGTTCCGACGAATGATTGCTGCAAACGCTGCGAAGTATTGGATCCTAATTTATGAGTTCACCATGTGTTATCGGCGATTATGCGAGGTTAGTCACTGCAATTGACGCACGAGTACTTGTTAAATGACAAAAAATAATGCTCTAAATTACAGTATATAGCATTTCGAGTCCAATGTTTCTAAGAAGTGCTGTATTTAGATTTGATTTCTTACGAATATAGTTTATACTACTTGAGTGGTATTCGATTTGTACTCTTCGGTAGAAAGTTACTTTTACATCCTTTCACATTTCTTAGATATTTATATTTTAATAGATTTTAGTTTATCTATGCAATTTCGCGTAATGCATTTTTGCCAAAACACATTGGATTGTTATTTTTATTATCATGAGGTATCAGACTATTATCGCTATACTTTATACACAGGAATACTGTTATCTATTATGATAACAACGTAATCATAACTGGACAGAAAAGAAGAACCTCTGAATGAAAGACGCGTCATATTTATAAGAAACTCAAGTTATTCTCGTAGGATGTAGATAATAAATTATTACAGCGACAGCGTTTGAATAGGATCGAGAGATGAGTCGATTCGAAGTTAACAACTCGCTCGCTGTAGAGAAAGTAATCTGGTGTATTATTCGATTAAAAGTAATTGCTTCCTGGCGACCAGAAGGGTCAGTAGAAAGTTACGGCGAGTGACAATGAGTCAGTGAGCGCATTTTTTAATTTAAAATACGATTTACTTCTCTGTCTTGATAATAGGTTGTCTCGGAGTGATTTGTTCTTTAGCGAATTGAGAGAAGCGATTTTTACTCAGCAAAAGTTGTTTGAACACTGTGTTTTGCTGTAACTTCCTAAAATTCAGCCGTAAATGTCTTTGCAATATTTCCAAATTCTGATTAAGTAATAGACTTTGAAATAAACATCATAACAAGTTTGGTATCATATAGGACAAATGTGTGTAACATGATTTAAATTCACAGGTTACAAAGAAAACTCGAAGCAACGGAATAAGCAACAGAATAAATGGATTTTAACGATTTTATCTAATAATTTCGATAAGATATAGATAATCCCACGTCTATTTTTACCAGATGTGTAAGAACTTCTAATCGATGTACAATTTACTATGATTTTCAGTATCGAAAGAGATAACGCTGTTATCCATGTGCTTAAATTTCTTTTTTTTTAAATAGCTGTATTATTATGTGACGTTTTTTTCTCTCTTTCTTCTATATTTATTTTATTTTATATACAGGAAGTATTATATAATTGAAATTGGATAAATTTAATGGTGCATGTCGGTCGACTATATAAATCAATTGTTACATAATTCTTAAATTGATCTTACATATACATGTACAACTAAAACGGATAGATACGGGCGTGTCATTGTCGTTTTGCACGCACATATACGTGTTGCACTCGACAAAAGTCTCGCGAGATGAAGGCAGTCTTCTGCGATTTTATGTGCAACAGTTACTGCGCTCTGTCTCTACGCCGCCTCGCTTTCGCTTTCGCTTTCTCCTTCGCGTATACCATCTCGCAGTAACGTCTCACGGGCGATTCTCTTTTGCGAGAGAAAGAGAGATGGAACTGTGGCTGCGAGTTATAAGAGAGCAATGCCACATCAGGGCGCCACGCCTATACGCGTATCGGTAATTTAATAATAGACCAATGTCTATTACTGCGCACCCTATGACGGTTATTACGATACGAGCGATTGATGGATCGATTCGTATGTAATGTTTAAGTACAGAGTGTTACGAATGTTACGTTCGACAATGTGCTATTATCTAATAGCGCGATTTGTTCCACGCGACGATTTCGTATTTATCGGAAAACGTATAGCGGTCTACAATTCACGTAATGAATGTTGCGTTAATATTCGCGCACGATTATTGCATCTGTTGTGCACATTCGCAAGCTATTAAATCCAAAATTATAACTTTTATTAATTTTTCGCATTTAGTATTGGTATTAAAGATTTAGGTCTCTATATACAATTTAGAGGAAAAAGTCTTCACTTTAAGCGTCAGCGATTTGCGATCTGATTTAAAAAATGAGTCTACGCGATTCCGGAAGCTTAGTTTATTATCATTGCGATTTCCGATCGGTAGCGATTGAAACTTGGCGGTGCGGATCGTCAAACAGCATCGATCCGATCGTTTACCGAATGATTTAGGGGATTCGTTACGAAGATCATTCTAGGATATCGCCGAACTTTCTCCTTCTTTTCTTCTCCTTTTCTTTCTTCTTCTCCTTCGTGTCTTCCTTTCCCTTCTTTTTCCCCTTTCCTTTTCTCTCTATCCTAAAAGTCGAAGAGAGACGGAGAGATAGATAGACAGAGAGAGGAATAGAGCTCGTAACGAAATTACTTGTTCTGAAACCTGGAGAAACCGGTTCTCAGAGTCGCGACTCTCGAGAGTCTCGCTCGTTTACCTCGGTTTCCACTCTCGGGCATGAGCACACTAACGCAGGGCAGATACCGAGATGCCCGTGTGAGGGATTAGAGACGGGTACGCCACGCCGTGCGCGCACACAATTTTCCGACTCCCGGAGGCAAGCGACCTTGTCGCGCGCGCACATAGCGAAAGAAAGAAGGCTCTCAGGCCTCTCTTTCTCCGAACAAAGAAGCGCTACAGCATTCTCGAAAAACGTTTAAAATAGTTTTTGAAAGGAATTTGTGTTTTTCTACTTTTTAATTTAGCCAATGTTTTTTTAAATTTTCGTTCTACTTTGTCCGTTATATTTTTGGTACATTTGTATCGCGAGAAGCTAATGAACCAAATCTTTATGAAACAGATAATTATCGGGTATCATTTATATAGACATTAAAATGGCACAACTACCTGAATATTCCGCCAATCGCCTGAAGCTTCTATCTGTCTCTTTATATACAACCGTAATAATATTATAATTATATGTGCGACTAATTGATTTAATTACGCCATATACAATCGCGTTCTATATCGTGTGTGCAAGATAGTTGCTTTTCGAGAACGTATCGCTTTCTGTCTCACAGATGTAAACATCTATCGCGACAGCAAGAAGCGTTTCAGACTGCGATTAGTTAACTGCGTTTATATCCTTTGTTCAAGCTGGTGCGCATTACAATTCATTATAATGAAGATAGTCTGCGAAGTAGACTGCCTTGAGGATAATGAGCCGATTATATACGAACCGTACGCGCAGCGAGACTGTCTTGGTCATAATGAATTCGATGGGAACGAAGAACGAGCGACGAAGCGAGCGAGCGAATGAGTGAACGAGTGAGCGATTTGCTCCTTTCCGGATGCTGTTGGCTCGTGGTACCGGCGTCGATGCATAAGCGCGAATGGAATTCGAGAGTAAAAAGCCGAGGGGAGACAGGAATGTCTGGAACGAGCGCGACGACACGACTTACCGTTACGCATTTCTGCGAAAGAACGAAAATTGCCGTTTCATTTCTCAAACCTTTCCCTCGTAGAGAGAAAAAAAAAGAAACCGCGATAATTCTCCGCTTTCAACGCGTTCATAATCAGAAAAATTAATTGGAAAGTGTGTTATCTTTTTTATTTATAGATATATATATGAATTTTGTACAACGATCGATTTTTGCTTCTTTTTTGATATCATCTCTAATTGGAGATCCATCAGCTTGTCGCAAACGTAAATATTTATTTATTTTGGAACGTGAAAGCTTTTCTTTCTTTTTTTAAAATGCTTTGTTTTGACACAGATGCATATGTTTTTTTAATGCGTTAAAAGATTTGTCTCTTCACATTCGTTGCTGCAACGAATTTTTCGATATTGGACGGGGAAAAACGCAGGACGAAAAAAAATAAATGCACTCGCGAATTGTCGACGCTAAATGCATTCGTCGCTCGATTCGGCGCACGTTCTCGCGAAGTGCGGTTGCAACTCTTTCGCGTTGAATTTTTTCACGTCGTTCGCCGACGCGTCCTCGCTTCATGAATATTCCGGCGTTCATTACGGTGACGCCGTGCCGTCCCATTGTTGCTTACCGGAACAGCCGTTGCTCATTCGCGCCCGAGCCACGAAATTTTGAAACCTCGACGGGAAACGCGAGTTCTTTCGCTTCCGAGTCCAAGTATATAACGGTATTAGTATGTTGCGATGGCTTAAACCGCATGAGAGATCTGATTGTTGTCAACCATATGTAATTGAATTGTTTTGTTCAAATAATATCGAATTATCATAATTATTCATTAATGGGTCGAGAATCACATATCCGCTGTTTAATGAAATTATATCCGGCAATAATATCTGGATATCGCTCCGTGGTGACAACGAAATACGTTAATTGCAATTTTAGCGTATTAAAGGCGGAAATACTCGGAACCTAATATAATTATCAGTACGAACGATTATCATTACTCGAACATGTGAGAACGCGATCGTTCGCGTGTCTTTAAATCGGGATTAACCTTTCGCGAAGTTTTGATGGATCACCTGGCATTACAAATTGCCGCTTAATCCATCAACCAAGTTCAGCAGTTGCGGCAATTATTTTAGCGTTCGCATGCGCCTCGGCTCTCGTTCGTGGACTTCAACCACGCTCGGAATTGCGTGCGCATGTACGCACGACACCCGACATACGTATTCGTTTCACGCTGCGCTGTTGACTTCCGATTCAAAACAATGCGTTCGAGTTTCGGGAAATAGAGTATCGCGGAAGGCGATTATTTTTAATGGAAATTTCTCAATGTATTCATTCATGCAATTCGTTTCTTGTTATTTAAAAAGAATCGTGTTTATAATGAACTTCTTTTTTTTTTGCTTTCAGGTCTTAAATTCAATCCTGTGGGCCCCACATGTTATGGTATAGCCTGCACAACGATCGTTCGACGCATGGCACTGCGATGAGCAAGTAAGTATATAAGTTATTTTTCTCAGATTGCATAATCCTTCAACTTTCCATTTTGATTGCCGGAGAGTTTACTCCTCAATATTCGCGTAATCCTCTGCGTTTTATTTTATTCTCTGCGTCAGCGGTTAATCTTATTCGGCGAGATACTGCGCGTTCGCAATTGATCACCTTGCGGATTCCGATCGTCGAAGCGTCGGACGACGATTAATAAACACACAATTGGCTTCAAGATGCCAACGAATGGGGCGTTTTTTCTCCCTTTTTTCCTAATTATGACGACAATCATTTCCACGGTTGCAATTACGATCGTGATCGTAAATCAGCGTCTTGGTGCACTATTCTTGTTCACTGCTGGTGGAGAGTTTGCGACTCGGTCGCCTCGTATGACTTAAACGAGCGAATGCGGTAGTCTATTGTCATCGTATATATGCCCGGACCACGCGATATAGTTACCCGTATGGTTATAGTCGGGCGTTATCATTGTCGAAGCGCGTAATTGCCTTTACGGTTGCACGCATGATCCACGAGATTCCGCAGAGCCAGTCTCGCAGGATATCGCGTGCTCTAAAGTAGGTTAAAAAAATCGCGATTTTGTGGTATGCAAGCAAGAATGTTACATTCACAGCTGTCAATAATATATAGATTAAATTAAAAATAACACTACTTATTTCTCTCTATCTGTAATAGTTAAAAAGTCTGTCGTTAGATGCGCGAGGTACTAATTAAATACGGTTCGAGAAATCATGGAATATCGTTCGTTCAAGGCCTTCTACATGCGCCTTGCATCCGGACGACATTATTATTAACGAAGAGAAGCGGCACGATGGCAAAACGGAGAAGAGGCCTTTGTTAACTCGAGCGTCGCGTTATCACTGTGCGATCATCGTTGCGACGAGTTACGACATAACGGCGTTTTAAAGCTCCTCTTCCGCTCTTCTTCCTCCTCTTTCCCGCTTCGCTCTTTTTTTTCCCCTCGTTTTTCTCAACGCATTGTCTGGTGCATCTGCATCCGCACGACGCGCTCTTCTCTAGTAATCGTTAGTAAGAGAGACTGAATACCGAAAGAATTTTGCTGACAGATGTACGCCAATTATATCTCGGTATAATTGTATTATCTCTTTTTTACTACTTGTATTGATTACCAATATTGAGAACATCAAATATTGACATACAATAGAAATGTTCATCAATTTTCGACAGTGTCAGTTATATTATTATATAACTGATACCTATTAGAGTTTGTTTGAATGCTAATAATATCAAATCAATTTATTATGTATTTGATTTCTGATAAAAAAAAGATTAATATACGCAAATTAATAATGTAAAATTTATGTAAAATTTCAAGTTTATATATTTATCTTTCTTTGTTTAATAACATCTTTTGTGAATATACATTAAGGAAACACCACAAACGTGATTGATTTTACATCTTTTGTGAATAGACATTAAGGAAACCCTACAAGTGTGATTGCTTTTACAATATCGATTTGACAAGATCTAGTTAATGTAATAATAGTATTATAATATAATACCGAAGAGCATTATAATATATCTCACAAATTATATTATAACATAATACCACAATGTGTATAATATAATACTAAAACGTTATGTATATATTCTGCTATTATCGTGTTTCTCAATCTCTGATTAGAAATAATGTTGAAAATTAGACTTATGTAACTTTGCATGTATCTTGATTCTCGATATATCAAGTACAATAACATTGGTTATTATTATTACTTAGATTTCACTATTTAGTAAAAGATTAAAGACAGTGTAAGTTCTTACAAATATTTGTTACGAGTAAATTATTCGACGCACAATACGGAATGACTCGTACCTTGCAATTTTCTCTACTTTGAGTTATCTCTACCGCGAAGAATCTTGTTGAATTTACCTCGCTCTTTTAAGTTCCCTGAAAATCTGGTGTTGCTTCAGGAAATCCAATACCTCAAAAAGGAGAAACGCTTGTATAAAGTCCATTTACGTGAGCGTTTCTTCAGAGACAGAGAAAGGAAGAGACAGGACGATATGGTTCCGCCATAAATCATTCTTCTTCATCGCTACCGGAACTCTAAAGCTTTCGACGAGAACGTATACAACAATCGTAGACAGCGTGATAGTTTTGGATAGGAGGGGTTAATCCATCACTCCCGGGATCGAAAATAGTGGAATCTGGCATTGGAGATATGTATCGCGGGGCGAGAGATGAAGGGCGCTCCGCGGAATTGAATGCGAACGAAAGGGCGCGCGTCGGCCGGCAGAAATTGAAACGTCGCGCGGAAATTGAACGGCGGCATAGGTGAACGAAACCTTTCCCCGGTCGTGCACTGCGATTCGGTCGTCGGCGGGTCCCGACGCGGAAATGGAAGCGTCGCCCGCTTGTAAACCGAAACCCTAAATCAGCCCGGCACTTTTCGCGAGAACGCGGTTCGAGGCCGCGCCGTTGAAAGACCGCGTATGGGATCTTGCGATTGTTCGCGTTCTTCCTTCACGTATTCACCAGTCACGAAAAACGCTCGTTTTTTTCTTCTACATTAATATAGGAGTATCTCAAAACCATTGTTGAACCAGGAAGTTCCTTTGACTACGGATTTTATGGCTAATGTAAAATCGATTTTTTCTCAACGAGAATTTTTCTTTACTAAGGACGTATTCATAGTTTTTGAATAACCATGGTTTATGTTATGTACCAGTTAGTCAAAATTATATATGGGAAGAAATTTTGGAAAAATAAATCAAATACTCTCCAAAGAAAATCCTCGTCATAATATTTTCTTTAATATTTATGTTGACAAGAATGACGCTTAGCGCTTAAATTGGTTCTACATATTAGGTTGGGGAAAAAGTAATCCATTATTTAAGCCTTGAAATAAACGAAAAAATAATGGATTACTTTTTCCTCAACCTAATATTTTTTATACAATCAGGTGAAATATTTTCTACTGTATTGAGATAATTTCATGCCGTCGTGCGATCGAGCGAATCTGGAAATCGGGAATCCGATTATGCGGCAAGACGACTTGCTGCTAGCGAATCGCACAATATAGATCTGGTACATTCCCATAAATGGATCTCGTATCTCCATCGTGTCGCTCTCTCCATCCTTGCTTTGTGCGATTTTAGCCCGGAGACATCGCCTTATGTTACATTGAATTACCTCGATGCATGCAGTTGTGCGGCACGTGCTACCGAGAAGCAGACGGTGATACGTGTATTTATACGAGCACTTATCGCCGCGAGATTATGCCTCTCTAATCTCTATCGGAAGTATACATCGCCGCTAGATACGTTCGTGTATCTTCATCGCGTGTAAGAAAACCTCTTGTCATAGCTATATACCACTGTGGCGAACCTAACGCGTTAAATACTGTGTAAATTTTGATTAATTCTGTGAGAACCTTATTAATGATAATACGATATCAGATTCAATTTAAAAAAATATGTAATTGTTTTCCTGTTCACCCTTTTTCACACAGAACGTTGCTACAATTGGCGCAACATGACTTTTATGAATTTCTTGAAAAATATACTGTTTATCAATGTCTTAGCACTTTCGGAATCCAGAATTGATAGACATTTTTTAAATCAAACATATAACGTGTAGATAGTAGTAGATAATAGTGTAGACTCAGGACTGTTTGATAGCGTGGCATTTATGTGTGTTTAATAATGTAAAAGATTAAACATAAAGATTAAAAATAAATAACAGATTAAGAT